CATGCTCACCGACACTCAATCTCTCGCACATACACTAGCGCTCTCACACGCAACCCACCAGCAAGCAACGCGATGGAGGGGTTGTGTCAGAGCGTGGAAATGCTCACTTGCTTGGCAAAACGACTGCAACGCTGGATGGTGGTGGTGGTGGTGGTAGTAGTGGAGGAGGAACAGGGGGGTTTGGAACAAGATGGTGCGACACAGGAAGACAGGGAAAGGGTAAGGTTGAGTTGGATTTGGGGGAGCAATGGCGATTCCCCTCCAACAACAACGCACGCACAAGCAGGTGGAGGAGCTCTGAGATGATGGTGTGCAGTTGTGGTGCACATGCAAGGCATGCAAAACGGCACAGCAAAATCAAACAAAAAGTAAAAGCAAGGACAGCACTGCGCTTTGCTTTTGCTTGCTTGCCGGCGTCTGTGCCTTGGTCGTGTGACCCACAGCAACCCCAAGTGACGACGCACACACATGCACAGGCAGTGGTGATGGCGCGTGTGCAAGCGCACCTCCCAGAAGCGCCACGAGACGAGGAGGGGGCCGATGTGGAGGAGGAGGACAGAAGGGGGAGGGGGAGCGGGTGATGTGCTGTGGGTTGCTCTCGTCCGTCCTTTGCTGATGGCGTGATGATTTGTGTGCGCTGTTGTCGTTGGTCGTGGTTGCTTGCTTCACTTGCTGCTGTTCGGAATTGAAGGGGGGGCGGAGGAATGTAACGACTTAATTCAGTCTATGGTGACGAGACACTGAATTCAGTTTGTGTGTGTCTGCGTGTGTCTGTCTGTCTGTGTGTGTGTGTGTGTGTGTCTGTGTGTGTGTGTCTGTCTGTGTGTGTGTGTGTGTGTGTGTGTGTGTGTGTGTGTGTGTCTGACACACCTTCTCTCACTCAATCACTCACTCAATCACACACATGCGTCCTGTGCTGCCTTGTTGCTTTGTCTAAACACAGACACGAAGGGAAGGAAAGACAAGAAACGAAGAAACACACACACAGACATACACACACACACGCACACGCGCGCACACACACACACACACACACGCACAAAACACATAACACACAGAGGTGAGTGAGGATTGTGTTGCTCAACCAAGCTTGCCGAGTTCCTGCTTCTTCTTGAGAGAGCGAAGCCCGTGATACACAAACGAGTCAATCATCCCAGCAACTGGCGTTGGCCGAACAGTGGGCACATGTGTGTGGGGGGGGGGACGAAGGTAGGGTGGGTTGAGTGAGAGTGAGTGTGGTGTTGGGGCGAGAGTGGGGTGGAGTGAGTGAGAGTGCGACTTGAACGCAGAGAGCTGCAGTGCGACTGCTCCATACACACACACAGCGCTGTTCAAACAACAAACGAATATAACATGAACGACAACACAGAAGGTTGTACATGTGCATGTGTGTGTGTGTGTGTCTGTGTGCATGTGTGTGTGTACAGCGCACCTGAGAAGATGCCACCGATGATGGCGAGGACGCCCGTGAGAAAGTGGAAGAAGCTGTGCGTCCGCTCAGAGAGCTGCACCAGGATGGGCGAGATCTCAAACATGACAAACATGCCTTTCGTCACGTGGATTGGAAGCGGGTGGCGTGGGCGTGGGCGTGGGCGAGGGCGTGGGTGGAGAGGGGGGGGGGAGGATGAAATGTGAGGGAAGAGGTGTGGAGAGGGGCGTGTGAACGGGTTGCGTAAATGAGCACAAGCAGACGCAGCCGATGGTGCCATGCTTCAAGGCAACACAACACAGCACAACACAACACAACACAACACAACACAACACAACACAACGCAACGCAACACAGCACATGACTGCCATGTGCGTCTTCCATCACCTGGAAGCCCCGTCTGGCCGGCCTTGTGGTCGATGTGTCGCTGGTGCATGGTGACGGAATACTGGTTGGTGTTGAGCTCCTGCCCGCGCGCCTTGCGGTACCGCGTCGGCACAATCTTCACATAGTACTGGTACATCGTCGCCCCGACTGGCGATGGTGGTGGTTGATGGTGGTTGATGGTGGTGGTTGATGGTGGTGGTTGGAAGAAAGTGAGAGAGGCGGCTTGGAGGGTGAAGAGAACATGATGACACGCCAGTTAATGTTGCACACCTTACGCACACACGACAGCGTGCGCACAACACAAACAACACAAACAACACAAACAACGCAAATAACACAAACAACACAAACAACACAAACAAAGGAGACTGACGTTTGTCTGCTGTCTCCGAATGGCCGTCGAGGGGATTGACAACACCAGGATACTCAATGCCAAACGACAAGTGGTTGATGGTGTGCGACATGTTGAACTGCAGCGCAGGTGGCAGTCATGGTGGTTGTGTGAGTGAGTGGGAGAGTGTGTGGACATGACTTTGTGTGAGGGAACATGACGGCTTTACCATCCATCCATCCATCCATTCCACCACCCTCATCATCACCCAGAACACTACCATCTCCCCGTTGTTGTTGTTGTCACCTTCCCGAGGGCTTCGCGGCCAAAGGAGTTCAGGTCGTGGAAGTGGATGCTGTGCTGCTGGAAACTCTTGCCAGGCGCAATGTGGAAATTTCCGGCAACCTGCACACACACACACACACACACATACACATGGTGGTGACGGTGGTGACGCAGTCATGTGAATGGTGATGACATGCAACAAGGACGAGAACGCAGCACACAACACACACAACACACAAACACAACACACACACGCACGCACACACACACAAAGCACACACACGCACACACACACACACACGCACATACACACACATGGCGTGCAGTGCAGGGCCGGCACCTTGTTGACTTCGAGATGGCCGTAGATGCGGCACCCCTCCTTCGCCTGCGCCTTGAGCTTCTCCGTCCACCCTGATGATGATGATGATGATGATGATGATGATGATGATGATGATGATGATGATGATGATGATGATGATGATGATGATGATGATGATGATGATGATGATGATGATGATGATGATGATGATGATGATGATGATGATGATGATGATGATGATGATGATGATGATGATGATGATGATGATGATGATGGTGGTGGTGGTGAGGACAAGAGAGCACATGAGAGATGTATGCACACGCATACGAACACACCATGCATACATAAAAACAAAACAAACAAAACAAACCAAACCAACCAACCAACCAACCAACCAACCAACACCTCACACCTTCGCGTTCGCACTGCTCAATGCCCTGGATGTCTGTGAGCGCCCAGCCCTTGCGCCTGTACGCCTCACGCACGGCCTCACACGTGTTGCAGCACTTGTTCTGCTCGCTCTCCGCCCCGTAGCAGCTGGCAGTGGTGGTGGTGGTGGTGGTGGTGGTGAGGTGAGGTGAAATGTGGGGGGGGGGTGGCTGGGCAGGGTACGAGTTGGCGTGATACAGCACGAGAAGCACATACAATAACGCGTAACACACAAGCACAAACACACATACACACATACACACATACACACACAAGCGCGCACACACACACACACAAACACACAAGCACACACACACACACACAAGCACACAAGCACAAACACAAGCACACACACACACACAAGCACAAACACGCAACATGCACGCACCTCTCGCATCTGTTTGGATCGAGGCCTTCCTTCATCATCTTCAGAGCACCGACAGCGCTGTCAGACTGCAGTGAATGAAGGATATGGAGGTGAGGTGAAGAGGGGGTGGGGAGAAGAAGATGACGTGAGGATGAAACAAGTGCACGACGAACTCCAGTGAAAAGGAGGCGGTATTCGAGTACCGCGTGCACGCATGTACACATGCACGCGCACATTAGCTCGCGCATGCACACATACAAACAAGCGCATATTCACACACACACACACATTCACACATGACAACAGACCTCGTCTCCCAAGTCGTCCACTTCCTCCGGCTCCTCATAGATGGGCGTGCCGGTCTCAGTCAACCTGAACACAGCAGCAATCGCACCACACACACACACACACACACACACACACACACAATGGGTGAGCGTGTGGCGGCTTGTGACACTGTCACGCACCTTAACAGTAGTCCCCCACACCGTTCTCACTTGGGCAGCATAACATAACGTGAGGTTCACACGCCTCACCGCTGTTTGAAGATATCGTGCTCCACGTCAAGCTCATTCTCCCCTGCAGTGTGACATGACCACGAAGGAAACGATGAGGCAGGTGCGTGTGTTGGAGCACCACACACACACACACACACACACACACACACACACACACATCCACACACACACATACACACACCAGAGACGTCCATGATGTCGAGATGCAAGAAGGCGCAGGCCATCTTGTGGAAGGTCACGTCCACGTTGATGCGCATCTTCTCATCGCGGGATGTGTCAACAAACAGCTCAGGCTCAACCTCAGTGGACAGGCTGCACAATGGCCGGTGTGAAAGGGGCGCGCAAAAATCGCAAACAATGGGCGAAGGAGAGGGGCACCAGTGAGCGCCCTGGCTGGCAAAGCACACTTGAACAAACACTGTGTGTCGTCGCAGCTACACCACAACATGCACTTCAAACTTCAAAAGGCCAGAGAACAAACACACGCACGCACTCACGCACACGCACAGTCACTCACTCACGCACGCACGCACTCGCACACTCACTTACGCACGCACGCACGCACGCACTCACTCACGCACGCACGCACAAATTCGCACGCTAACCACACGTGTGCGACTTACTAGTACACGAGCTCTGAGGTAAAGAGGACCACAATGAGCAGGATGGCCACAATGGAGATGGCTGCACCGGAGAACGTCTTCACACGAAAGTCCTCCAGCGTCTTTGGATACGCGTCCAAGTTGCGCAGCTTGGACCACACGTCACCACCAGCCATGACGCTGTCTCTGTGGTCTCGTGTCTGTGTCTCGCTCTGTCTCCTTGAAGCAAGCAAGCAAGGGAGGGAGGGAAGCAACGAGAGAGAGAGCTGCAGTCAGCACAGCACAACACCTGCTGCTTTGCTTTGCTTGTTGTTTTGTGTTTGAGGTGGCAGTATTGACGAAAAGTGGCGACAAGGTTCATTAAATTTCTACAAAGGACCCAACGAACAAACCAAGACGAGAACACACACACACACACACACACACACACACAGACACACACAGACACACACACACACACACACACACAGACACACACACACACACACACACACAGACACACACACACACACACACACACAGACATACACACAATGAGCAGCATGGTAACAGGCAGGGAGAGTCAAAAGAGCCAGGCAGAGAGGAGAGCAAGCGAGTGACAAAAACTGCATGTCACATCGAGTCAGCGGCAACAAAGGTAACAAGCAAGCAAGCAACCAACCAACCAACCACAATGACAGGAACAAGGGGCAGTCGTAGCGGACAACAGCACACCGAGAGCATCACACACCATATCAAAAATCACAACAGGGTGCAGATGCTGCTTTTCACTTTACGCGGCAAGGGCAAGGGGCTCTTTGGCGGCTTTGTATCTGCAGACCCCTCTCCCAGGTCCAGTGGCACCTCCACGGGCGGATGAACCGTCATCGGCCTTGAGGACGGATCTTTTGGCGGGCTCGCAACAGACTGTCGGATTTGTGTGTGTGTGTGTGTGTGTGTGTGTGTGTGTGTGTGGTTGTTTGTGTGTGTGTGTGTGGTTGTTTGTGTGTGTGTGTGTGTGTGTGTGTGTGTGTTTGTGTGTGTGAGATTGTGTGTGTGTGGTTGTTTGTGTGTGTGTGTGTGTGAACGTGAGCGGGTGTAAAAGGCGGGTAGGTTGCGCATTGATGGCGCATGCACACGCCAGTGCATGCCACTCACGCTGGTCTCTGAGAAGTGCGAGGACACGCGGAAGGACTTTGACATTTTCTTCGTGCGCCTGAAACTCTTTTCCCACGCGAGGGTGGACCGGCGCCCTGTTGTGACAAACAGAACACATGGAGAGGAGGGGGGTGGAGCGTTGGTCATGACAGGTTATGTGTGTGTGTGTGTGTGTGTGTGTGTGTGTGTGTGTATGCGTGTGTATGCATATGTATGCGTGTGTGTGTGTGTGTGTGTGTGTGTGTGTGTGGTAAAGCGACGGCATAGGAAAACAAAAAGGCGACAAAAACAACCATGCTCACGAGCACTGGCACAAACTCGTGTACACATACACCGCACGCGTGTGCATGTATTCGCACCCTTCTTGACGCAGACGCTGAGCTGGATTAAGCGGCCCGACGCACAGCCACAGATCAACCCCTGACAGCGAGGTGGCAGTGGAGGGAATGGGGGAGGGAGAAAGCAGACAACAAGGTCGAGCGTGAGAGACACAAGAGAGGGAAAACTGGAAAACTCAATTCAGACACACACACACACATACGCACGCGCACGCACACACGCACGCGCACCTCATCTTCGTTCCACGAGACGGAGAAGACGGGGGAATCGAGCTGGAATCCGGGCACAAAGGGGCGGTTGCTTCCACGGCCGTTGGGGACGTTCAGTAGGTGCATCGCAGTGGACGCATCATCATCATCGTCGTCGTCATCGCTTTCTGTTCCAGCAGGGAAGTCTGTCAGCTCCGTCAGGCGCACTGCAACACCGAGGGCGTGAACATGTGTGTGCGTGTGTGTGAATGAGTGTGTGAGTGTGTGTGAAATTGTGTGTGTGTGAGCAATTGTGTGTGTGTGTGTGCATACGTGTGTGGACAGGCACATGAGTACGCATTGAGTGCGTGTGTGCGAACTCCAAAGACCGTTGTGCACATTCTGTCATCATCCATCCATTACCTGTGTGATCCTCCGACCCGGCGACGATGTGTGTATCCATTGGGGACCACGCTGTGCAGAGGTATTTCAAGCGTGAATGAGCGCGTGAGTGCGAGTCAGTGAGTGTGAGTCAGAGAGCGATTGAACACGCGTGAGTAATGAGGAGTGCAGGCACGTGCATGGCTGCGGATGCCGGCAATGTGAACGTGGACGCACCAAGGCAGTAGATCCAGTGCTTGTCGTGTTGGAAGTAGAACAGCTTGTCGCCTGTTTGATGCGCAGCACGAAACCAACACACACACACGCGCGCGCGTGAGTTGCACACATTGTGTAGCGCATTCAATACCTTCGTGTCTCCGTTACTCAATCGCATGAACCCTTCCTCCAAAGCCACAAGCACAACTGCCACTCCACAACTTCCATGCAATACCACCGCTTGACCACAATTCATCATCACCATCCACGTCATCATCATCATCATCATCATCATCATTACCATCACCAACACCGCCACCATAGTGGCGAACAGTCGAACCTGAGAAGAACTCAAAGACGGAGACCGATCCATCACTGCATCCCACGGCAACCATCACGCCAGTGTGGCAGAAGCGCACGGCATTCACACACGAGGTCATCGTCGCTGCAGTGGACAAGGGTGATGGCAAGACGCAAGCACGTGAGTGTGGGGGAAAGAAGACAAGCGTGTGTGTGTGTGTGGTTGTGAAGAAACTCAGCAACCGCCAATGACGCGCGATATACTTCCACCAAGTCCTACAACACCATTCCATCCCCCATTCCATCCCCCTCCCACCCCATTCCATTCCACCGACCAAGGACGCGCTCCTGGTCGCCCGATGACACGCGCCACACGCGGGCGGTGTTGTCGGCGGCGCCGGAGACGAGGGCATCGCCGTCCGGGTGGAAGTCGAGCGACAGCAGCCGGTCCTCGTGTCCTGCACAGACAACGGTGGAGAAGGGATGAAAGAGCGCGGGAGGGAAGTGTTGTGGAGGGCGCGTGAGTGATTTGAGTGTTAACAAATGGATGCTGCTGGTGACGGTTGGGACCAAACACACACACACACACATACACGCACACATACTCACACACTTGCTCACACTCATGCACACACGCTCACACTTGCTCTCACACTCACACTCATGCACACACACACACCTCTGCATGTGAACAGCTGTGCTCCTTTCACGGCGTCCCAGATGATGATGGTTGGATCGCGCTCAAATGCGCCTGACGCAATGTGCATTCCATCACTGGACCAGGCCACCGCCTCCACCCAGTCCTTATGGCCTGCAGAGTTGTCATGGTAGGGAGTGAGTCATGGTTGCGAATGGAAGTGAATGAGTGAGTATGTGAATGTGTGTGTGAGACAGTGTGTGTGTGAGTGAGTGAGAGAATGTGTGTAGAGAGTGAGAGAGAGTGTGTGTGTGTGTTTGCGTGTGTGTGTGCGAGAGAAAGAACGGGGGGGGGAGTGTGTGTGTGTGTGCGTGTGTGTGTTTATTGTATTGGACCGGCACAACTTCCTCGAGATGCAAACCACCACCACCACCAACAACAACAACAACAATTACTACTACCACTACTGCTACCGGCAACACCTGTGCATTGACCACGTATGCCCGCATGTCTGACCTTTGAGTTCGAAGAGCAGGCGGTCTTCTCTAACGCTCCACACACGCACGACTCCGTCCCCGCATCCGCTCACAATCTGGACACGTGCAGTGGATACAAAGCAAGCCGCTTTGAGCACACGCATCCAGCAGAAGGAGGACGAGCAAGATGCTGTGTGCAGTTGCAACCACAAACAAACACACACACACACACAAACACAAACACACACAAACACAAACAAACACACACACGCACAAACCTTGCCGCTGTCTGGGCTCCACGCAATGGAGTTGACCCAGTCGTCGTGATCCCGAAATACCTGGCGAGGGTGCGTGTGCGTGTGTGTATGGTGATGATGATGGTGCCAGCATTATTTTGTGGTTTCATGTGAACAAAACTCGGCACGACACAAAGAGAGACAAGGAGAGAGAGAGAGAACGCGCACACACACTAAACAGCATACACACACACACACACACACACACACACACACACAGAACAGCATACACACACATTAACACACAAAACAGCACGCGTGTCCCCACGTACGGTGATCTTCTGCCCTGCATCTGTGCTCCACACGCGGAGACTGCGATCATCCGATCCAGACGCGACCATGGTGCCGTCCGGGCTCCAGCTGATGCGGTGGCAAGCGGCGCAAGCAATGTGGTTGAGAGGGAGAGAGGGGGAGAAGTGGGGGAGAGGGTGGAGGAGGTGGACAAGGTGGCTTGCAACCGAACACATACAAACACGCACAAAAACACACACACACAGCCACACACACACACACACACACATAACACACGCACGCACGCACACAAACGAACAAACACACACACACACACCTGCATGATCTGCACGACTCATCGTGTCCTGTTTCGATGCGTGACTGCCTGAGCTCGTCTGTCATATACGCAGACGCATCCCACGTGCGAACCTGTGGCGGTTGTAGCGGCACAAGCGCCGACGTTGTGGTGTCGCGCGGGCACGTATGCGTTGTGGTCGTGTTGGTAGCCGTGGTTGGAGTCGTTCGTGTGTGGTTGAATGGTGGGATCATTGTTGTGGTGGTGCGCGTGTCGTTGTTGGCGTGGGCATTGTTGTTGTTGTTGTTGTTGTTGTTGTGGTGGTGGTGGTGGTGGTGGTGGTGGCCACGACAGCCGGTGAAGGTGTGGGATGGCGTGGAGTGTGTGATCATGGTGAGGATGTACGTGAAAGAAGCAAAGCAGGCCGCTAACACTCACAACAACAAGCAAATCCACGGGCAGTCACTTGCTGCTTGGTGCTGTGAGCGAAACTCGTCACGCTTCAATACACACCCGCTCGTCACGCACCCACAAATCGCAAGGGCAACAAAAACAAACAAAGCAGCAGAGAGAAGAAGGGCCTACGCGCAAAGCGAAGGAAAGAAAAGAAAAGAACAGAAAAATTATTGACAATTACAGCGAATGATGGTGGTCCTCCCGTGAACGAAATTGCAAAGGGAAGAAAGAGAATAGAATGGACACACACACACACACGCACGCACACACACACACACGCGCGCACACGTGCACGCACGCACACATGCACACACCGTTGAGTCGCTGGATGCAGTTGCGAGGAGGGTGTAGTCTGGGCTCCAGCACACGTCATTGATGCCTGCGTGATGACCCTCAAGACTACCAAGAAGCTGGCATTGCTCGTCCCAAATCTGCACACACACGCGCGCGCAAAGGAGGGCACAGCCAAGATCGGGCGAGGCGGAGGGTGAAAAGACTTAAAGGGTGGTGACATGAAGACATGCACACATGAAAGGGGCAAGAAGACGATTTGTGCTTGTGTGTGCAAGGGAGGAATAGTGGCACCCATCGTGTACTCAAATTACTCAGGACAATGACGCCATCGACACACGCCATGCACGAAGGTACTCCGTGAGCACCGAACGCGCAAGCCGGCATGCACTTGGTGTTGCTTCAGGGTGCGCATGCGAACTGTACTACCTTGACGGTTGGGTCCTCCGAAAAGCCGCATGTGACGACGTGTCGCTTGACTGCGTTCCACACAACACCCGTCACCCAGTCCTCGTGCGCTTTCAGCTGGGCAGAGAGCGACAAGAAAGTACCAGGGGAGGCACGTGTTAGAACACAGGTACACGGAGTAGAGCACAGGTAAAGAGAGAGAGAGAGAGAGAGAGAGAGAGAGAGAGAGACAGACAGAGAGAGAGAGTGAGTGAGTGAGTGAGTGAGTGAGTGAGTGAGTGAGTGAGTGAGTGAGTGAGAGAGAGTGAGTGAGAGAGAGTGAGTGAGAGAGAGTGAGTGAGAGAGTGAGAGAGAGAGAGCATCGGTGTTGTGAAACAGGGACGAGATGTCATTGGCACACACATATGCACACACATATGCATTGACGATGGCTTACATCCTTGATGACTTGGCCTGTTTTGGCGTTGACAACGACGAGGTGGCCAGAGCTAAGGAGCCACAACCACACGTGACATTGACACGTGGGATGCAGAGGTGAGATTGTACGAGGCAGAAGAGGAGCCCAAGCAAGCACTCAACTGTACATACGCGCGCGCACTTGCAGACACACACACACACGAAGTGTTCCCACCTGGTGCCTGCGTAGACTTTTGGGTGTGCCCAGTCCAAGCACATGACGTCGCCCGTCAGCAATGGAAATGTTTGTACAGGATTGCCTGCACGCGAAGAGCCGGTAATGATTTGGTGGTTTGGAAGGCGTGCATTTGCAAACGCAGGCGAGTCGCATACGGAGGTGAGACACAAGAGAAGATGTGTGCGGTATGACGAGGCAACGCTCTGCAGGAACACACACGCACACACACACACGAGCAAGGCATGCATGCATGCAGCCCTACAGACAGACAGACACACAGACAGGCAGGTGCACACACATGCGCACACAAAAGACACAGCCACACAGGCACACAAAAGACACAGCCACACAAGCATGCAATGCACTGTCTGCCACGACCACGAAAGACGAGCTCACTCTGTGTCACATCGAACACGGCAAGGAAGCCCCCATCGCCGCCCACAGCAACATGTGTTCGTGACTGGTGCAAGCATGCAGAGAACAGGGTGAACAGAGCGGAATGTGTGCGGGTGTTTTGCACGTGGGTGAGCGTGCATGTATCATGGGTATGGCTGGTGTGATGTGAACAATGCACCAACATACAACTGCCACTGTTCACGTGACAGCGCAGCGCACGCACTCGCATCGTGTGGCTCTTTCAACACACACGCACACGCACACGCACACGCACGCACACACGCACACGCACACGCACACACACACACACAACCAACCATGCAACGCACATTTGGCATCCATTTGACGGTAAGCATGGCTGCATCGAGCTGGTATGTCTTTGTGCACTTGAGGTCTGTTGTCCACAGCTTGAGGGTCATGTCCTGTGACACGGAGACAATGGCATTGCCACGGTCGTTGAAGGAGACACAGCGCACACAGTCTGTATGTCCCGTGGTGGTCACCCGCGGTGTCTCTGCGCCATCCATGTCCCACAGCGCCAACACACCCTCTGCACAGCCATAAAGAAAGGGGTGGGGGGATAAGTGAGGCAAGGGGGGGGGGGTACTGGTAATAAGCGAAGACCCTTGCAGACACACACACACACACACACACACACACACACACACACACACACACACACACACACACACACTCAAACACACACACACACTCAAACACACACCTCAACATAAACACACACTTTTCTCCCCCAACCTGCATCGCCGGACGCGATGGTGGCCATATCGGGCGACCAGGCGACAGCAAAGATGGCAGCAGTGCCTTCGAAGATGCGGTCCAGCTCGCCATTTGGGCCATGCACAATGACCTGCACAAGCGCATGAGCGAGAGAGCGAGTGTTGACGTGAGACGGGAGGACGATGCTTGTTAGTGCGTGCATACATACGTGTGCTGGTGTGTTTGTTTGAGAGGCAAGGAAGGTTTTGCACGTGCGTGTGCATGCGCATGTGCATGTGCACGCGAGAAGTCAGCAAGCAACTGTGTGAGATGCCGAGTGGGGCAGTGCTTTTGACACAACACGCACCGATTGATCGCTGCCGGAGCTGGCAATGCCACGCCTTGACCAGCACACGCTGTGCACCCAGTCCTCATGGCCCTCTAAGATCTAGGGAAGCAGCAAAAGCAGTTGCGGCGGAGATGTTGCCTGCAGATCAGATGAAAGAGCAGGAGCAGCAGCAGGAGCAGCAGCACGAACAGGAACAGGAACAGGAACAGGAGGAGCAGAAGTAGGAGCAGGAGCAGGAGCAGGAGCAGAAGCAGGAGCAGAAGTAGGAGCAGGAGCAGGAGCAGAAGCAGGAGAGCCAATCAACCAAATGGCCCAAGGAGCCATCGGCGAACATCAGCAACACACAGTCTTCCTTTATCCATCACGCACACACACACACACACACCTGTAGGTACTCTTTGTCTTGAGCTGCGACCTGCAGCTCCTCCACCATGATGACTACCAAGCTGCGACGGAATCACACACAGGGAAGGAGAAGGGAAGGAAGGGAACGAAGCCGACGCTATCCGCTCTCGCAGCACAACAAACACAAACACACCAGGCAGCTCAAGTCGCCAAGGCTGTGATGCTGTGATGATGTGAGAAGGTCGCACACAGCTGAGGTACGACGAAAGAACAGACCAAGGTTGTGTGATGCGGGTCGTGTAGGGTTGGGAAGGACAGAAGGGGATGCTGCTGGAAGGCGGTGAGGGGGTGAAGGACACTCAGCAAGCAGGCAGGCAGGCGGGCAGGCAAGCAAGAAGCAAAAGGAAAAGCTTTCAGAGTTGTTGTGCTTTTGCCGCTTTGCTGTTTTTTGCCTGCAGGCAAAGTAGAAGCACCCTGACGACGGGGATTCCTTCTTTAAATAATTTATTGTTGCGGTGTAATTTGATGCTGTTTTAACCCCAACGGTGGTGTTACGACTGAATTCAGTCGATGGGTTTATGAGATATTCAACAGCACAATTGTTTTCAAACCTAGTTTTAGGGTTTGGTTTCTTCTCTCACCACTTTTCTTCCTCAGCAGCACCACGTGGTTGTTCCAGTCTCTTTTTCTCAGCGCACACAGGCACACAAGGCACACAAGCACACATCATCCACGTGCCACCTTCTTGTCTCTCGGCTTTGTTCATTCATCCCACGTCTTCCCCCATTTCTCATTCCCCCCCCCTCCCTCCTTACACCTCCGACACTTGTCCCTCGTACCTCGACGCCATGTTCGGGGATATCAAGGCGTGTGACTTCAGCCCGGATGGGTTCTTCTTTGCCGTGCTCGGCGTGAATGGGCAGCTGCGCGTGTTCGAGACCGCCACCAACACCCAGCGGCTCATCACAAGCATCACCACAGACAAGGACGACCAACACAGTGAGCACACAACCCTTGACAGGAGACAACGATCCCGACACATCAACTGCTTCACATGGAAACCGCCCACACAAGAAAAGGTGCGCTCGCGCGTGTGTTGTGTGTGTGTGTGCTATGCGTCTGTTTGTATGTGTGTGAACTGTGTGTGATTGCGCTAGTCTGTCTCCTACCTGTGTGCTGTGTGTTGTGTGCGTTTGTTGATGTGAGCACTGCGTGTGTTCCAGCCTGGTGGCTGCGTGCTTGTTCCACTCCTTCCGCTCTGCCCGCTTTGCCATGCCACGCTCTCACGCACACACACACACACACACACACACAAACGCGCATGCACGCAAACAGAAAAGAAGACGAGCCAAGAAGCAGGCAGATCCCACGATTCTGGCTGGCTATTCCACGGGCGAGGTTTGCGCATATGCGCTTGCGACACACCATGTGTGCGTATTACTCCCTCCTTAACGTGCTGCATCAGGCAATCGTATTCCGCGGCTCTCAATGCAAGCTCACTCTCACCTTTGTTTGTTCACTGATCCAGATTGGCTTGATCAGCGTGAACTCGGGCGCCACACAGTTCTGGGTAAGAGGGAGTGTTTGAGTGTCTTGTGTATGTGTGTGTGTGTGTGATTGGCATCGTTCATGTGCAGAGGAAAAAAGTTCTTATCCCCCCCCCTTCTTCTCTCCTTAACACGCTTCTCATTGAAACCACCATCCGCTTGCCTCCCTCTTGTAGACACCCGATGACGATGATAGCGAAACACACAAGCACAACGTCACTGCCCTTGCATGGCACGCTGAGGCGAGCGCAGTCTTCTCGCTTGACCAGCGTGGCACCGTCCTCAAGTGGTCACAAGGTGAGCTGACGCTGCCTTGTGTGCCATCCACACGATTTGCGATCTCTCCTCAGTTTTCTTTTCTTGTTTTGTGCACCTTGCCTGCCCCTGTGGTTTGGGCGCATTTTTTGACCTCTGACTGAATCTGCCACACTAGTGCACACTCTTGCACACACAACCTCTCTGTCTCTCCCTCATGCACACACACACTTCATGCTTTACAGATGGCAAGCACAGTGAGCAGTTTCTCAAGAGGGCTGTCAAGTCTGCGCGCTCGTTGAGTGCTGGCCTGCCCACGGCAGATAACCAACACACGATCCTTGTGGCGGGACGGGACATCTACGTCTATGCTGTTGATGGTGCTACAGAGCTTAAGGTGAGCACATTGTGCTTTGCGTCTCTCTGCCCCTGCTCCGTGCTTCCTCTCTTTCCTGGCATTTCCTCCTCTTTCTATCCCTCTCCTCATGCGTCACTGATGAACAACATATTCATCCGCGCTTGGACTGACTTTCTTTTCGTGATGAAAGCGAATATTTGAATTTCATATTTCTTCACGTTGAACTGAGACGCACATGAAGGCATGCACAACGCACAAAACACACAGAACACCCAAACGGGCACTGGTTCTCCTTGACATGTTCATTGCTCTCTTCCTCTCACATCCACTCCGGTTTGTCCATTGTGCATCTTTCTTTCTTCCTTGTTTGTGTTTCCTTAACAATGCAGAGAATATCAGCGCACGTCAACCCCGTGTCTCGGTTGTTGCTATGCACGCGGTCGGACGTCCAGGGTGTAAGTTGTCCCTCTCACCCACTGGCACATGCACAAACATCCACGCGCTCGCACCTCATTTACAACACACACGCACAACATAACACACGCACAACACATGTGGCCGTCACTGATGAACAACATATTCATCCGCGCTTGGACTGACTTTCATGTTGTGATGAAAGCGAATATTTGAATTTCATATTTCTTCACGTTGAACTGAGACGCACATTCACACCGACACAGCATGCGCACACCGCAAACGGTGTACGCCCCGCGCTTCACAACTCACGCTTGCGTGTGTCACCATCGCTGTCATGTACATGGTCACGTTGGTTTCCACACAGGTGTTCTCCTTTGTGTCCTCGGACGATAATGATCGGCAAATCAACTTGTGGTCTCTCGACGTTACAGAAAAGGTTCGTTGATCTGTTAACGTGTGTGTGCGCGTGCGCATGTATTGTGCTTGCTGGCGTGGCCGTTGCTCATGTCCCTGGAGTTGCGCGTCTTGGATGGCGTTCCTCACATGGTGCAATCACGCCCCTCCCTGTTTGCTGGCGTGTTCAACAGAAGCAACAGTTGTTGATGGCCATTGAATCACCGGCACAGCCTGCCGCTGTTACCTACTCCGCGGGCGCCAAGAAGAACTCTGCACTGCGCGTCGCTGTCTTGGGCCTCAACGGTGCGTGTTGTGCGCTTTGCATAAATTAATATGCCTGCCCTGGAGTGTTTCGCTTGTATCCGGTGAGGCAAGCAAATCACTTTTGGCGTGGTGGCAGTCGCTGTTTTTTGTTTTTGTTTTTTCCACGCGCGGAACATGTGCTCAGGCAGCCAGCTCACTGCCGTGTGCTTGTGTGGCTTTGCTTTCCCTGCAGGTTGCTTGTACGTGTATGATGGGCTGAGCAAGGTACACAAGACGCCTGTGGCCACCATTCGCATGGAGACGGGCGATGTCCCCTCCAAGAAGGTGTCCATCATTAGTGCACAGTTTCCGGCAGAGCGCAACGAGCAGACGATTCATATTGCACGCGGCAACGCCATCGACCCCACCTTTGAGGACCTGGTGCGTCACATTGTTCCACAATTGATGAGACTGTTGATTCGCTGCGATGTGTACTGTAGTGTGCACTGGCTCGGCTGTTTCGTGCGAAAGTGGCTGCGTTGCCATGGTTCCTTTCCTTGCGTCAACCTTCTGTCGGCTTTTCAGCCCCTTCTTTTCAACTCTTTTCTCTCGATCTCACCACAACCGTCACTTGCTTTCTACGACCTTGTCACCGAATTGTTGTCGTTGTTCGTTTTCTTTGCATGCGTGTGTAGACGCTGGGGAGCACGGCTCAGGACCAGCTGCTGACGCGCGATGCGCCGCTGGAGCTGTTCCAGTCTGTGTCGAAGCAGCAGCAGAAGCTGTTCAAGGACCGCGCCCCCACAGCGAAGCCCACCATCCTCGGCGCTGCACAAGTCGGATCCGTCCAGTCAAAGCCATCGTACGTGACAGTCGCCTGCTGCGCGTTCATGCGTGCTTGCTCATGCACCTGTGAAACAGTAGACGCAGGCTTGGCTTTCGTTCACGGTGGCATGTGCTTGCTTTTACAACATGCACTTGCACATTCAAAATGCACCCACCAACATCTCGCTCACCCGCATTACTTCCTTCCTTCTTTCTTTCTGCTGCAGGGAGGAGGCGATCAAGCCGCTGAGCAAGCAGTTTGCAAACCTGCTGAAGGAGACGGGTGCTGATCAGCTGCCGCAAGGCTACACGCGCGATGGACAGCCCCGGTCTGGCACCTTGATTGGCATGCTCATGCAGGCCCTCCACTCCTCCGATAACGCCCTCCTCGACGAGGTGAGCCCCCTGCATTGTCTGTATGGTGGTGTGCTTCAAGTGCCGCCACCATGGAACGATGCACATGTGTTGCTGTTTGTTTGGCTCTCGCTTTCTTCGAGTCACGTTTACTCTGATTCTCTGTCGGTGTCCTTGGAGTTGTGTCTCTGTTCCCTCCAATTTCTCGTAGTCCCCTCTTCTCCCTTTTCTGTCGTTGCCTTTCTGTACTCTCCTTCGTCCGCCTTCCTTCCATTGTCCTTGTGTTTTTCCCTTCCCCCCCACCTCCATAACCACATTTGAATGTGGATTCCAGTTGCTAGAGGGCGTTTTGGTGCTTAGTGGCCAAGTTCGCCTTAATTTATTTCGCTGGAAAACTGAGGAGTTTCACCTCCAGTGAGCCATGGGGTCAGTCGTTGCCTTTCGTCGCCTTAATTGTGCGGCGGGACGGATCTGCGGCTCGCCCTTCCCTACCAAAGCGTTTACCGTTCCCTGGGGTGGCCTGGTTGTGGCTTTGTTCAACGACGCGTGGCGGTGCATTATGGGCTGGTGTCGCACTCTTGCCGCAGCAGCTCGCACCCCCTTCGATGCTTCCGCGCGTCGGACACTTCATCTCTCTCACCTTTCCTCTGTTTCTACTCTTTCTGTGTGTATGTGTGTTTTGTGCTGTCCATGTGCCTCTTTTCTCAATTCCCACCTTCTGTTTCATGTTTTCCCTCTTGCCCTTCCCACACACACACACACACACACACACACACACACACACACACACACACACACATCCACCTCCTTTCGGCACTCATCGCATTGTTATGTGCGCCCACATGGATACTTTCTTCTTTTGTGTGGTGCAGTGCTTGAGCTCTGCGACGGAGCGCATTGTCAAGGCGACGACTGCGCGTCTGCCGCCCAAGTTTGTGCCGGTCTTTTTCAAGAAGATTGTGCACAAGCTGGAGGCTCGCCCTGCCCGCGGCTCGTCCCTGCTTGTGTGGATCCGCTGCCTGCTCATGGCACACACCAGCTATCTCCTCACCCTGCCCAACCTCGCAGACATGCTCAAGGACCTCTATGGGTAAGCGAACTTGTTGTTATGTGTCGTGTGTTTGCTTTCGTGTGCGTGGCAAGTTGTGTATGTGTGTGTGTCTGTAATGGTTGCGTGGTTCGTCAAGACAGTATGGTTTTTGTTCACCTCTGCATCACATCGGTTTGCCCTTGTAGCATGGCTGAGGCGCGGCTTGCGGCGTTCCCTGCGATTGCGCGGCTATCTGGTCGCCTCGATTTGCTGTTGGCGCATGCTGACCGCACCGACCAAGGCTTGGAGGACGACCTGGCCGACGTCGACGAGGACATTGTGCCGCGCGCCGTCTACATTGAGCCCGGTTCGTGTGGGTGTGGGTGTGTGAAGACTTCTCTCTCTCTCTCTCTCTCTGTCTCTCTTTTGTGCGTCATGTGGTCGTTGTGCTCTTTCCAAGATCTCACCGCAGCACGTGCGTATCCTTGTGATTTGCGGCTTGTGCAGAGGAGGACGACGAAGAGGAGGAGGAAGCTGGTGCCGATGGTGAAGACGAGGAGGAGGACGACGAAGACGAAGACGTGAGTATTTGTCATGTCAGCTGTCAGTCATGTTGTGGTGCCCTTTGTCCCAATTGCTGCTGCTTCAAAGCTGAAGTGCTACGAGTGTGTGCTTTGCTTGTGCCACACGATCACTCCACACTCATATTTGCGCTGCGTTGTGGTTCTTATTTGTTGTTTCATGCAGGAGTGGGAGCCTGTGGAGGTGCCTGGCGAGGATGACGCGCTCTTTGATGATGTGCTGGGCATGTCTGAGATGGAAGACTCTGACGAAGACGAGGACGACGCTGCGTCTGGGAAGCTGCTCGGCGATGATGATGAAGATGAAGAAGATGATGAGGCTGAGGAAGAGAGCGATGATGACGACGAAGAAGAAGAAGATGATGATGATGATGAGGAGGAGGAGGAAGGCGACAATGCCATGGACGAGGATGACGACGATGATGATGAGGCCAACGACAGTGATTGATGAGAGACGGCACGTTCTCGTTCTCTTCCTCTTCCTCTTTTTCTCGCTTATTGTCGATTATTAGGAACGCTGTAAATGTAAATCTACAAATCCGAATGTGTGGGAATCAAAGCCAGTCCTTGCTGCACTGCAAACAACCACACAAACCAGCAAGCCAGTGAATCGAGAGAGGAAAGCAACAACAAGTCAGACGAAGACGGATGATGCGTTCAGGTTGGTGGTCGTGGCAGTGATGGACGGTGGACATGGATGCACTGGCAGGTGTGGGTGAGGGGCTTCGTTGTCTCTGGGGTGCTCATTGCGATTGGTGTGAACGTTTTGTTTTTTTTTGGCAGGTGTTTCGGCCATTGTTGTGGCGGTGTGCTTTGCTGTGGTGGCTGCAAGCCCCACTGCAAGCGCCGCCTTTACGTCCCGCAACCGTGAGAAGCTCGTGTCCTTGCTCAAGGGTGCGGATGCTTCCAACCTGGAGCACGCCTTTGCCGCTGCCTCAGGCCTTCATGCCATCGGCGCAGATGTGCCAAAGGTGCGATGCCTACGTGTGTGTGTGGGTGGGTGTGTGGGTGTGTGTGGGTGTAGGTGTGGGTGTAGGTGTGTGGTGGGGGGGGGATGGGAGGTTGTGCGGGGATGTGTGTGTGTGTGTGTGTGTGTGTGTGTGTGTGGTGGGTGGGTGTGTGGGTGGGTGGGTGTGGGTGTGTGTGGGTGTGTGTGTGTGTGCATGAGAGGCCGAGTCGGCCTCATGGGACAGAGTGGGAAGCGGAACTTTGCTTTGTTGGAAGCGCGCGAGACTGTGTGTACTGTAAACAGTGCATGCACGGCAGCAGGCAAGACATGACAAACCAACGCACCTGTTTGTTGCTGTCGCTTTCGGCGGCTGTTGTTGTTTGCAGTTGCGGGAGCATTTGTAGCACGTTGCTTTGGGAGGAGCTGGTGCTCGTGGGGCCAGTGCTGCCATCATCCGTCAAGTCCTGCTCCATGACGAGTGCAGTGACTGATGTGTGTGTGAGTGAGTGCCGTGTTGGGATCAAGGTCTTGTCGAACGATGTGTGTGTGTTTGTCTCGGTATCTAACCACCTCTTCTCCGAGAAAAGAGCAGACCCCGGCTTACGTGCCTACGACGATTGATCCAGGCCAGATTCGGATTTTACAGAACTTGGATGGCTTCCAAATTGTGCGGGAGTGTGGTGGTGTAGGTGTGTGTGTGTGTGTGTGTGTGTGTGTGGGTGGGTGTGGGTGGGTGTGGGTGGGTGTGTAGGTGTGCATCGCAATACTGTGCACAAATACCGCATCATGCGTCTCCTTGTCTACGCACACACTCGTATGCTCACAAACCCCAATCACATTGCATCGCGAGCAGGGGTTCTGCAAGGCCGCTCAGGCTGCCAAGGCGGATTCAATCAAGTCTGTGTACTACGCCAGCCAGCTCGGCCAATGGGTCCAGGGCTGTAAGGTGGGATGCAGTCGCCAGTTTTGTTTTGGCACTCTTTTGTTTGGATCCCCGTGACTTGTGGATTGTTTGAAGCACATCCCACACGCATACTAATGTGATCGATCACACTGTCGCCCGCATCCACACACACACACACACACACACACACACACACACACTCTCTCTCTCTCTCTCTCTCTCTCTCTCTCTCTCTCTCTCTCTCACACACACCACACACCAACACACGACACTCACCCACACACGACTCTCTCTCACCACACACACGCACACGCGCGCACACACACACACAGGTCAACGTGCAAGGCGGAAAGAAGGTGGTTGAGGATGTGCTTGCCAGTGCGGGCGATGCCATCAGCCTGCACCACGCCCTCGGCGCTGCCAAGTCTGTTGGCGTCAGCGTGAACACTGCCGACGTCCTTGCCAAGTTTGAGGCCATCGCCGATGGCGACTACAGCGCACGTGCCGCTGGCTACGTGCTGGACGCCGTGTCCTCCCTCGAGCTCACCCCTGGCGCCAAGGAGACGTTCAGCGACATGGCCGAGGCCCTTGCCGCACAGGCCGAGGTCTTTGGCAACTCTGCAAAGGTGTGGGTGTATTGTGCGTGTTGTGTGTGTGTGTGTGTGTGTGTGTGTGTGTGTGTGTGTGTGTGTGTGTGTGTGTGTGTGTGTGTGTGTTGTGTGGGTATGGGGGGGAAGATAGGATAACAGAGACGAAATGCGATATGCGTGCGTGTGTGTGCAAGGGTGCTGGTGCTGCCCGCGCACTCGTCTGTGCATCACGCACACCCTGACCCTCGTTCGTCACAAACCGTGCCACTCCTCCTGCGTTTTGTGTCAGTTTGATGGCGGCATCACGGCAACGGCTGTTGTTGTGCGCGGCGTCTACGCGTTTGCCACTTCCATCGACACCAAGCCCGACATTGACGAGGTGCGTGGTGATGTCTATCTATGTTGAACAGTGCCCGTATTGCGTTCCACTGACTCGCTCAAACACTTCATCCCGCTGGTGCTCTCATGCCTGCATGCATTCACACTGGCGACATTGGTGATTGACACGGCACTGTGCAATGCACGAACCACTAACCATGCAATATGCCCTGCACTGTCGTGTTGCCTCTGTTTTGTTCTTGTTTTTGTTTTTGTTTGGGGCTGGCTGAGAGCAGAAGACGGTGCGCCAGCTTGTCAACTACTTTTCGTCCAGTCGCGACACCCACAACGTTGTGCACGCCGCTGCCGTCCTGCTTGGCCTCGGCACGTTTGCCTCAAACAAGTTCCACAACCCCATCGTCCTCACCCGCGGTACAATTTTCCTGTTTGCCGGGTTGTGTGTGGGTGTGTGTGTGTGGGTGGGTGTGGGTGGGTGTGTTGCATGTCCTAAGTCAATTGTGTACACATGTGTGGCTCACTTGTGTTGGACGACTGCCCTTCCTGGACTGTGATCCCTCACCTCACCTTACCCTCCTGTCTTGTGCGCTCCCCTATTGCTCGTTGTGCAGAGGTTGCCAGCGTGCACAGCAGCAGCCCCGTGTACAAGATTCACGTCACCAACGCAATTGGCCAGAATATCAAGGCCGAGGTTGGAGAGGAGTTGGAGGGGGGTCTTGCTGGTTCGGGTGTATGCGTGTTTGTGTTGTGGGTTTGGTTGTGTGCTAAGTTTGTTTCGTTCGTTGTTCGCTTGTTTGTTTCTTTTTGGTTTGCTTTCTTGGTTTGTTTTGTTGGTTGGGCATCCGCATGTTGTTGTTCACTGCCTCACGTGTGCAACTGCCACGTGTGTACCCCAATCAGGCGACGATCAAAGAGATCCGCAGTAGCTCCAAGTCAAAGGTCGGTTCCGACATTGCCCTCGCCGCCGCAACAGACAGGTCTGTGGACGTGCCTGCGTGTGTGTCTGTGTGTGTGTGTGTGTGTGTGTGTGTGTGTGTGTGTGTGTGTGTGTGTGTCGGTGCGTGGGCAAATTCTTGTGTGTTCTCGAACGATAGCTGCAAGCGTCACTCATGCACATTTCTGCTTTGTTTTGTGGTTTTGTTTCGCGTTATGACGCGACGCTTTGTCACGCCCTCTTGTGCTTGGCGTGCTGTCGTCATCAGCACGGTGTACACTGCCAACCTCGCCTCCCTCAAGCTTCCCCGTGGCATCTACACCGTCAAGGTCTCCGCATCGTAAGTCTTTCCCAAATGATGTGTGCGTGTGTGTGTGTTTGTGAATTCTGCGGCAGCTGTATGATGCACTCCTTATGTTGCAGCAACACCTCAACAAGCCGCCACTCACCACCCCATCAACGAACGCTTTCTCCTTTACTCCGCCACCACCACCACCTTCTCTTCTGCTTCCTTTGTACTCGTGCAGTGGTGCTGGTGCGCTGAGCGCATCCCTCGAGCAGTCGCTCGCCGTCACTGCCGCTGCCACCGTCTCCGACATGACAATTTCCGTTCTTGACGGCTCCGTCGTCGCAGAGAGCGAGACGTACGTTGTGTGTGTGTGTGTGTGTCTGTGTGTGTGTGTGTGTGCGTGTGCGTGTGTGTGTGTCTGTCTGCCTGCCTGTCTGTCTGCCTGCCTGTCTGTGTCTGTGTGTATGTGTGTCTTTTGCACGTGTGGCCACCCTGCGTTAACACATGTGCATGTGTCTGCCCCTCCACAACAAAACCAAGTTCACACCTCACATCACCACCGCCGTTGTGGCTTCCTCGTGACCTCACATTCGTCATTGGTCCCTTCTCCTTCCCCTCACCCCCCCCCGGCCTTTTCAGCGTGTCGCACCCGAAGAAGCTGAGCAAGGCGCTGGCTGCCGACGACTCGCAGGCGCTGCGCGTGTCCTTTGCTGTCAAGGACGATACGGGTGCAGACGTGACCCCGCACCAGGCCGTTGTCCGCCTCACCCACGCCGCCACCGGCGCAGAGGTCCAGTTCCAGGCAACGCGCAGCGGCAAGGCCTTTGTCTTTGACCTGGTGCGAACCCCTGTGTGTGTGTGCTTGTGTGTGTGTGTGTGTGTGTGTGTGCATGTCTGTTTCTGTGGTTGACTGTGGAAGGAACCATGTTGGTTTAGTTTGACGTGCGTACGCATTTCATTTTCTCATTCTTGTCTCTGTGTGTGCACCTGTTAGGATCTTGCTGATGATGGCGAGGATGTCCTTGGTTCCCTCAGCGGCGACTACAAGCTGGTCAGTGTCTCGCTGTTGTGTTACGCGCGCTCTTATTCAAGGGTTGCTTTTGCCTCAAGTCTCAACCATACACACACATACTCACGCACTCACGCACTCACGCACTCACGCACGTGCACACGTCTCCTCGTCCAACTTCTTCTTCCTTCCCACCTCACCTGCTGCCATCTGCGCGGTTGCTGCGAGCAGTCTGTTGTCGTTGGCGACGTGACAATCTCGCCGGCGATTGTGTGGGACCTCGGTGCAGTGACCATCACCTTCCACAAAACTGCACCGCCAGCCAAGCAGCCCTCACGCTTCGACCCAAAGCCAGAGATTAAGGTGTGCCACTCCGCCTTGTGTTTGGTTGTTTGTTTGGTTGTTTGGCTTCGTGATCCTTGGGTCCCAAGCGTGGTCCGCGCAAGTGCGTGCATGCTGCATTGGATTTCATGTCTGTGCCTCACCTTTGTTCTCGTGCATGTACATGTGTCTGCAGCATCTGTTCCGCGAGCCAGAGTCTCGCCCGCCCGTGATTGTGTCGTTTGTCTTCACAGCCATTGTCGTCGCCCCAATTCTCGTCCTCCTCGTCCTGGTGAGCATGATGATTATGTACTTTGCTCATGTTTCGTGCGTGCGTGCGCCTTTTTTATCTGTGTGTGTGTGTGTGTGTGTGTGTGTGTGTGTGTGTGTGTGTGTGTGTGTGTGTGTGTGTGTCCGTTGGTCAGTGGCCTCACTGCAATGCGCCTCGCTTCTGTTGGATTGCTCTTCAGTGGGCCGGTGTTGGCGCCAACATCTCCTACTTCCCCTGGTCAAACATCAACGCTTTCCTCTTCCACGGATCGCTCGGAGGTATGTATGTGTGTGGTTGTAGCTGCGTTTGCTCTCGATAAACCCCCGTCCTGGCAGGCTTGCTGCGCTTTGTTGTAGGGCGCCACTCACTGTGTTTCCGTTTCGCCCGCCTCGCCATTGCGTCCTGCTCTCCGATCATCGCCAGCCATTCTGCTCCTCTACGTGACCTTCTGGCTGCAGCTGGTACGGCGCCTCGGCTCGTGTTCCCTTTGTACCATGCATACATGCGTGCTAGTGGTTTGCATCTCAACTGTGCGTGCTCTTTGCAACCACCACCACCGCTCACCACCTCTCCCTTTCTCTGTGCGTCTGCCTGTAACAGAACATCTTTGAGTGCCTGATGTACCTGACGCCGCTGTCGGCGCTCCTTGTCTTCTCCGGCCGCAATTTGCTCCGCAAGCTTGCCAATGATGTGCGTCGTGCACGATTGCTTTTGTGTGTGTGTGTGTGCGTTTGTGTGTTTGTGGGTCTGTGTGTGTGTGTGTGTGTGTGTGTGTGTGTCTGTCTGTCTGTCTGTCTGTCTGTCTGTCTGCCCGTGTGCGTGTGCGTGTTTGTATGTCATCATCGTTGGAATTGCGCTTGTATGGTTCATTGTTTTTCTATGCTCCGCTCACCGCTGGTGTGTTGTGACTGTGTGCTTGGTTCTGCTCGCCTCAACACAGCGCGTGAAACGGGAGTAAGACCAGCCAGAGTAGAACGGGCAATGACCACAGACAAGGACCTGCTGGATGTGTTCTCTTGCTGCTGCTGCTGCTGCTGCTGCTGCTGCTGCTGCTCATTGTACTCTTGTCTCGCATGCTTGTTTGCTTGCTTGTGCACCGTTCCCGCCACAACAATACAACCACAACCGAGCAACCGTGCAACTGTGAACATTCAATGTAAGCAAGCCGAGTGACTGACATTCTTTCGATTGAGGTTTATGTATCTCAAAATTTCTCATCCCACCAAGCAATCAGCGATTTAGCTCAGCGGAAGAGCGTGGGTCTCATAATCCCAAGGTCGGCGGATCGAAACCGCCAATCGCTACTGTAAAGCTCTTGAATTTTTTTTTTTCCGTCTGATGACAGTGACATTGTAAGAGTGGCGCATCTTCTCTCAGATGCTTCTTTATATTGTCACAACACACACGCGCACACGCACACGCACACATCCACACACACACTTCACTGTTGCTTCAGTAACTTGTACCGCGCTGCTTGAATCGACACACGAGAGGCAAACAAACAGACATACTTACTCGGTAACCAAGCAGCAGGCCGAGCACAGACAATGGAACCAGAAAGAGACAAGCTAACAAGCACCAACCAGAGTCAGCAACCCACTGGCAGGAAAAGTAGAAAGACCAAGGTCAAGGACAGCAGCAGCAACAGCAGCAGCAGCAGCAACAACAACAACAGCAGCAGCAGCAACAACAACAACAACAACAACAACTTAAACAACAACAACAACAACTTAAACAACAACAAAAACAACAACAACAACTTAAACAACAACAACAACACAACATCAACAACTTAAACAACAACAACAACAACAACAACAACAACAACAACAACAACAACTTAAACAACAACAACAACAACAACAACAACTTAAACAACAACAACAACTTAAACAATAACAACAACAACAACAACAACAACTTAAACAACAACTGCACACACTATCTGCCTGTAACTTCATGCAGAGGCAACAGCAAAAACCAGCCTGGTGTGCATGCGTGCATCCATGTCGAGGCTTCTCCCAGAAGGCAAAGAGACACTTCCACGGCCCCACAGCCAACCGCAGCAGCAGCAGCAGCACCGCCACCACCACCACCACCACTAGCAGCCGGGGTCGATGACAAGCAGGTCGGATGCTACGTAGGGGATGCCGTAGATGAGGCCGTTGTTGGCGAGGACACCGTCTTGCCACTTGTCCAGAGACTCTGACACGGGGAGAGATGTGATGTCGATCGTGTTGGTGGCCGTGTCGATGACCAACACAACCGGTGCGTTGCTGGGAATGGCGTAGATGCGCCCATTGTGGGCCAGCACGCCGCCCCGCCACTGGTAGTCGTCGCCAGGGGGATCACTGTTGATGGTGGTGGTGTCTATTGTGTTGGTGGCTGGGTCGAAGATGAGGACGGACGAGGATTTGAAGGGAATGCCATAGATGAGACCGTTGTCTGCAAGGACAGCACCAAGCCACTTGCGCACCCCCGGCATGCCAACCAACGCGGTCCTCGTGTCGGTGGTGTTGTTCACAGGGTCGATGATGAGCACCGAATCAGCTTGGTTTGGCACACCGTAGATGAGGCCGTTGCTTGCTTGCACCACACCACGCCACTTAAACATGCCTGGTGCAGACGCGGGTATGGCCGTGGTGTCCGTGGCGTTGGTCGCTGGGTCGATGATGAGGACAGATGCCGCGGACCACGGAACGGCGTAGATGAGGCCGTTGTCGGCGGCGACGCCGCTGATCCACTTGTTCCCAGTTGATGGCAGCCCGCCAAGGCTGGTCGCATCCACGGCGTTTGTCGATGGGTCAATGATGAGCACGGTCTCCGCGTCAAAGGGGAACCCGAAGATCAACCCGTTGTCTGCGAGCACGCCGCCTGCCCAATCGCCGCTTCCGCTGCTTCCGTCGAAGCCGCTGATGGTCGTGGTGTCGGTGGTGTTTGCCGCTGGGTCAATGATCAGCACAGAGTCTGACGCGAATGGCATGCAGTAGATGCGGCCGTTGTTTGCCAGCACGCCACCGATCCAATCACCGACCCCTGCCCCAACACCAGAGATGACACTTGTGGCTGGTGAGAGGCGCCGACAAAGCGCTTCCTGGTGCCGTTGGTCCTGTGCTCGCAGTTCCTCATTCACACGCTGTTGCTCCTCAAGCATGATCGCCTGCTGCTGCACGACGTCAAACATCTTCCCCACGTCCACCCCGTTCACAAACACGGGCTGCTCTGCCGGGTTGCTGGTGTTGATGTGCAGCGCACCGTGCTCGTCGTGCTCGATCACCACCTCCGCCACGCAGCAGGGTGCAAAGAAGAGGAGCATGGTGGTAACGGTGACGAGAACAGCCATGGCTGCTGCTGCTGCGCCTGTACCTGTCGGTGCTCCGGCTGTGCTGTGCTGTGCTGTGCTCTGCCGCGGATGGATGGAGGGTAGAAGTTGTTGTGGTTGGTGTGTTCTCTGATTCTGTTGGTTGTTTCTTGTTTGCATGTGGGTGTAAAGGACGGAAGCCTTTTGGAAATCTTCCATTGGTTTTCGCTGGAACACGCAGCGTGACGAGGCAGAGGTGACAGGATGGATGGATGGTATTGGGGCGCTGCAGTGCAGTGGATGGATGGAGAGCATGCGATGGAGCAAGGGGGAGGAAGGGTGCTAGGGAGAGAGTGTCATGCTCATGCATGTGTGCCTGTATGTGCGCCTGTAGCTTGTGTGTGTAAAGCTTGTGTCGTGTCGTCAGACATCAAACAGAAACAGAACACTTGGGGGTCTGCGTGTTTCGCTGCCTGCTGTGAGCGAGTGAGCTGCCCTGTTGCTTGTGACGTCACAGCAGAGCTCGAGTTACAGTGCCTTCAAGTGTCGTAGCTGAGCTGTGCACGTCAAGCAATACGACAGCGATTTAGCTCAGCGGAAGAGCGTGGGTCTCATAATCCCAAGGTCGGCGGATCGAAACCGCCAATCGCTACTGCAAAGCACTTTCTTTCTTTTTTTTTTTGTTTCGTCTGATGACAGTGACAGTGGTCCGTGGATCTCTCTCATGCTTCTTGATATGTAGTCACACACACATGTTCACGTTGTGGTTCGTATTGTGTATTTGAGTAGGTCACGTAACACAAAGCACATGCTTTCAGAACATAACGCTGTCGCCCTCTCCCTTGCAAGCACTGTACCATTACCACCACCACCACCCCCACCCCCACGCAGAGCCACACAGTATCCCTCGCCTTCCTTATCTCCCTCCCCCCCACACACAGGGCCTACTTGTTGGTAACGTCATCGTCGTCGTCAGCGGCGTTGTCGTCATCATCGCCGCCATCATCGTCGTCATCGCTCTCCCGCTCTGCTCTGGTGCGCACGAGCAGGCCAAGCTCCCTCTCCACCTCCGCCACATCGCACGCAAAGTTGTGTTGCCGCAGCAAGTGCACGAGCGCCTCGTTGTACTCCTCATAAAACTCGGTCAGCAGCCGTTGCGTTCGCTCCTCCATGGGCGGGTGCCCCGCGGTCTTGCTGCCGCGGTGGATGGTGTCGCCAGCCTTGAGTCGCTGCTTGAACTTGCCTGCAAGCTTGGCGGGCGGGCCAATGAACTTGGCCAGGCGTTGCGTCATGTCCAGGGGCTCCGTGTGCATGTGCGTGGTGGTGGTGATGAAGATCTGCTCTGGCTTCCACCCGGCGCACAGGAAGTTCTTGAGCTGGTCTGCGTACATGCCGCGAAGCAGGATGCCCTCGTGCAGCCAGTACGAATAGCCGTTGTCGTTTGTCGTCTTGCTGGCGTTGTTGTTGAGCGGGATGATGAAGCGCTCGTACCAGGGGCGCCCGTCCGCCACATTCTCCTCCACGCACTTGCGCAGCGCCTCGTATTGGTACTCGGCAGGGTGGCAGTGCTGCTCGTTGACGAACATGAGGCCATCGATGTAGCACTTGCGAATCACGTCCACCTCTGCCGCCACCAGGTCGTGGAAGTCCTTTGGGTCCACCTTCTCGTCCAGCTGAAAGAAGCCCGAGTAAGCGCGGGGGACAGGGTTGCGCAGCACAGCGATGAGCCGCACACCATCCTTCTTCGGCCGCAGCACCTCCATCATGCGATATGCCACACGCCGGTCATACATGTACCTGTGCGTGTGTGTGTGTGTGATGGAAAAAGTGCGAGGCGGAGCAGAGGCTTGAGTGTGTGATGAGGGGAAAGGCGAGGCGCCATGCAAGACTCACATAGCTATGTGAATGGTTCTTCCTTTCCCACACAAATGTAAACACACCCACACGCACGCACGCACGCACCCACACACAGACACACATACACACACACACACACACACACACACAGAAACACACACACACACAGACACACAGACACACACACACACATACACGCGTGCAATATACACCCCAGGAGACTTTCGCATCCAACCACATCATGCACGTACACAGGAGTTATTTCCATGGGCAGCCATCCATCTGCAAAAGGCTGTGGGCCCCATCGGTCATGATACACTTGCAGCGCCTTCTTCAAGCCCTGCTCGCGATCTGCCTCAATCTCGTCCTTGAGCAACACGTAGTTTCGGTCAAAGAAATGCATTTCTGTGTGCGCACGCGACGTGGCAAGTGGCATTGGTGAGGGTTGACGCGCACTGTGAGAAGGCAATGCAGGAACGAACGTCGAGCCAAACAGAATGCTTGGTGGTGTTGGTGGTGCTGTCACCACACGGCCACATACGCACGCACGCACACGCACACGCACGCACACGCACACACACACACACACACACACACACACACACACACACACACACACACACACACACACACACACACACACACACACCTTTGCGCATCTTCACGACACCGTCCAGCTTGTTGAGGAACCCTGCCAACGAGCTTGTGCCACTCTTTTGCACGCCAATCTACCACCACAGCGATACTTGCAGGTGAGATCTTCTGCATGCACTATGCACCAGTACGAAGCGTGCATGCACCCAACGCGCACGCTATCACATGATCGAGCATGTTTGACTCGCAAACAGAAACACAAACAGACAGACAGACAGGCACACAAACAGACAGACAGACAGACACACACACACACACACTCATGTAGACACACACACACACACAGACATAGACACACACACACACCCCGATGACGAATCCTGACTGGTCCTCTGGATGGGAGCACTCCGAAGGGTGCTTGTTACAGTAGGCGACGTTGGCCTTCACCTTGCTGCCAGCCAGAACCTCATCTGCACCCACGCAGAGCAGCAGCGCAACCACCGCTGCCGCTACAGCCATTGTCACACCACAACCACCAGCCATCATCCCCTGCTGCCGTTTTTTGCGCAACCGAAGTCAATTGTAATTTATGGTGTCTGCCACGGCAAACATGTTCTACAGTTTATGATGTCGCATCACAATTTCTTGCACCCCACCCAGCAGCTGCACAACCGACCCTCACATCAACACCCACCATCACACCGATCACATCACCAGCCAGGGATGTCTTCTGGGCTTGTGTTTGAGGAGTTTTTGGCGCTGAGCACGGGGCGGCTGCTGCCGCGGCTGGCGTTTGGCACAGGGACGCAGTGGTTTCGCACAAAGGACGGGTCCAGCAGCCGCGAGTCTGCGCAGGTGAAGCTGAGCGGCGCGCTGCACGCGGCACTGGACGCGGGCTTCCGGCACATTGACGAGGCAGAGATGTACGGCACGGAGGAGTTAACGGGCGAGGCCTTGGAGGCGTGGATGACCAAGCACCCGCACGTCAAGCGCGAAGACCTGTTCATTACCTCCAAGATCTGGCGCGGCCTGCCCAACGTGCGCAAGACGGTTGAAACGACGCTGCGCAACCTGCGCACCCCGTACGTGGACCTGTACCTGGTGCATGCGCCCTTCATCAAGCAGAACGACATCGACGCCGACCTGCGCACGGCATGGAAGGAGCTGGAGGCGCTCAAGGAGGAGGGCCTGATCAAGGACATTGGCGTGAGCAACTTCCACGTGGTGCACCTCAAGGAGCTGCTCTCCTTCTGCAAGCACGCGCCCGTCGTGAACCAGATTGAGTGCCACCCACACCTGCTGCAGCCAGACTTGATGGCCTTTTGCCAGGAGCAGAACATTGTGGTGTCCTCGTACGCGCCCCTGGCCTCCTTTGGGCAGAGGCACGAGCCCACGCTGGCGCTTGTGCAGGAGATTGCGGCCAAGCACAACCTCACGCCCGGGCAGGTACTGTTGCAGTGGAACCTGGCGCAGGGCACGGCCGTCATCACCACGTCGTCCAAGCTGGACCACATCAAGGAGAGCGCGGGCGTCCTGAGCGGCGCCACCATCACGCAGGAGGATGTGGACGCCATCACCAAGACGGCGGGCGAGCACAGGCACCGCATCTTCTGGCAAGAGTCATTCGCAGCCCTCAACCTCTGAGGTGTGAGGAGAGAGAGGCAGGACAGGGGGGGGGGGGTCAATGTGACGTGTTTCCTGCATGGTACTGCCGACCCCCATCCTTCCATGCCTCAGTGCGTGTGTGTGTGTGTGTGTGTGTGTGTGTGTGTGTGTGTGTGTGTGTGTGTGTGTGTGTGTGTGTGTGTGTGTGTGTGTGTGTGTGTGTGTGTGTGTGTGTGTGTGTGTGTGGCGCCACCCCTCAAGCCAAGCACAAGCTGAACCACAAGCTTTCAAATCACAAGCAAGCCACAAGCAAGTCATCTTGATGAGTCAGCAAAGGGAAGGATTGGTGTTTGTTTGGATTTCTCCACGCAACACGAACCAAGAAGATCAACAAGCAAGCAAGCAACAAGCAAGACAGCACCCATCAACTTCCATCACATCACAGCACAGCACGCAGCCCACCACACCAACAGACCAGCACAGACAGACGATGCCTGTGAATGAAGTGCTGAGTGGGGCCTTTGCGCTTGTGCACAAGGCCAACACGCAAAAGGGACACGCCGTCAAGTTGATTGAACGCTGTGAGCGCATCCTTGCGTCGCAGACACCGCACAAGCTGCTTGGCATCGCCTTGCAGGTCGACAATGCCATTCAGGACTACGGGCGGACGTGCAAGGATGCAGAGACGGCGCTGATTCAGGTGCATGTCTATGTGTATGTTGTGTGTGTGATTGTGCGTGCGTGCGTGTGTATGTGTGTGCGTGTGTGCGTGCGTGCGTGTGCGTGTGTGTTGCTGATTCAGGTGTGTGTGTGTGTGTGTGTGTTGACGAATGTGTGCATGCGTGCGTGCGTGTGCGTGCGTGTGCGTGCGTGCGTGCGTGTATGTGTGTGTGTGTGTGTGTGTTCTCTTGTGTGCGAATCGCATGTGGTCTCATTCGTGTTGCGCGTGTACAGCTGAAAAAGGACCGGCCAGAAGGCGTGAGCGACGCGCAGCTGCGCAAGCTGCGAGAAGAGATCAAAGGGCTTCACGACGACTTGGCAGATGTACGCCGCAGTCATTTGTGTGTGTCTGTGCATGCTCGTCTGCTTTGCGTGTTTGCCCTGCCTATTTGCTGTCCAAGTTGTCGACTTCCTCGTGTAGACTGCAGCTTTGCCCATCCTCACACACACACACCTACACACACACACACACACACACACACACACACACACACATACATACATACATACATACATCTGCACAGATGAAGAGGCGGCTGATTCAGGTTGATCGCGAGCGGCGGCGGCTGCTCGAAGAGGAGCAGGCACAACAGCAGCAGCAACAACAACAGGAGGGCACCGATGGACAGTCGGGTGCTGGTGATGCCGGCATGCGCCAACAGCAACAACAACAGCAGCAACAACAGCAGCCGTTCAGACAAGAACAATGGCAGGAGACACGCAGGAAGCTGGTGAGCGCCACGTGTACTCTTGTGGCAGCATTCACGTTGTGTGCATCCGTTTGTGTGTGCGTGCGTGTGCGTGTGTGTGTGTGTGCACATGCATGTGTAAGTGTGTGTGTGTGTGTGTGTGTGTGTAAGTGCGTGCATGTGTAAGTGGTTGTGGGAAAAGGCACCCTGCCACATTTCACACACACATGCCCCTGTGTTCTTCTCGTGCAGGTTGAGGAGCAGACGCAGTTTGTGCAGCAGCGAGAAAAGGGTGTGCAGCAACTGCACCAGGACATGTGAGTTAATCGCCATGACGGCCATGATGATGATAATGATGATGATTATGGTGATGAGCGCGTTCGCAAGCGTCGCGATTACCTCTTTCTCCTGCATGCAGTTGTCACGCTTTTGTTATGCACTCGCTGTGCATTCCTCTCACGCCGCCCGTCAACACACTTCGCATCATCACAGGCAAGACATTCACAGCATCCTCCAAAACATGGCAGAGGAAGTGACCACACAAGGCCAACAACTCCGTAAGTCATCTTCAGTGTCAAATGTGTGTGTGTGTGCGTGTGTGTGTGCGTGTATGTGTGTGTGTGTGTGTGTGTGTGTGTGTGTGTGTGTGTGTGTGTGTGGTG